TCTTTTTATCTGTATTATATTCATGCATATGTCTGTGTCTGTGTCTTTTGTGTGCATGTATGTAAGTGTATGCATATGTGTGCACATATGTCTGCATACATGCACATATGTGGTTGTATGTGAGTGCACATGTATGTGTGATGTGTGTATTGGTGTGTGGATGCATGTGGGTGTGCACGCGTGCGTGCATGTATGCACATTTGTGTGCATGCTCAACTCTACCCTCACCCCTGGAACAGTATGTTCTCACACTAAGTATATCCCGGGGCCCTGGAACATACCAAGCAACAATTAAAGTTGGGTGTGTTTTGGGTGTAGCCCAGTGGTAGTAAAGGCTGCCTAGCATGTATGACACCCCAGGTTCCTCCCCTTCACCCACAGAGCTTTAGTTGGATAGTTGATAGCCCGGATGAAGGGAAACAGGTTGGTTTGTGAAACATTCCATCCCAGACAAGGTCTCCGTCCATATCCGTACATCTCCTCCCTCACCACCACTGCGAGTGAATTTTTTTCCTGCCCCTGTTCTGTAGAGAAAGAAACCATGGGCCAGGCCCAGCTTGAACAGTAACAAGTGGTAGGGTTGGGGTGGGAGGTCCAACCCCAGGAAGCAGGAGTCAGATGAACTATACAGCTAATACATCATGACTTCCTCTGCCTTCTCTCCCACCCTTGCCTCCCTGTCTTCACCTTGCACCTGGGGGATGTTTGAAGCTGTTAGCTTACTGTTGTAGCCATGTGCCATGGCCCTGGGCAGCCCTTCCAGTCCCAGGAACTGGGCCTTACCCCCACCCCTTCATTCTGCCTTGTCGGGACTGCAACTTCCTGCCCTCTCCACCTGCCTCAGGACAGCCCCCTGGTGGCTTGTTGGCCTCTGCAGGCTTGGTAGCCAGCTCCTGTAGCCAGCCAGGCTTCTCTGGTTTGAGAGTCACCCCTGAATTAAAGCTTATGTCCCAATAAACCAGAGGCCCGTCCCTGGCTGAGTGCTGATCTAATTTACAAAAAGGTAGAAATGGCTTCCTGATTAATAAATGTCCCTCCCCGACAGGCTCTTAGCAGCCCTGACTAATGTCACCAATGCCTGGGTCTTGAGTTACACAGCCAGCCCCTGAGGGCCGAGGAGAATGGACTGAAGGCGCTTCTGCTTTGGGGGTCCCAGAAGAGCTCAGCTCCCACGGTCAGCCTAGCCCTGAAGCCACAGGCTCTGAAGGAGGTGAGGGTGTAGTGTCAGCATGCTCTTGGCGGCTTGCCTAGGGTTAGCCCAAGACCTGTCTGACAATTAGCATTTCCTGAGAAACCTGCAGGGCAGAAATGAGGGCATGGCTCTGGGCCAGAGAACAGAGATAAAGACCCAGAGCAATCAGGCCTATAGCAAAAGATTCTGTATTGTGTTCTGCCATGCCCTTTGACCCAGGAAAAGGTAGAAGAAAAGGAAAAGAATGTAAGAGGGGGGGGGGGTCAGGACACAATTCAGAGAAGACTAGAACTCCTCAGAGCACAGGAAGTCCACTAGAGATTCACTTCAGTTTGTTGGGCTCTTTCTCTAGCTCTGTTCCTCTGAGTCCTAATGACTCTGGGAGTGTCCCTCCTCTAGTCTGTGCTTGATTGTGCTATGATCCATTAGTGATGCCTGCCACAGATCAGCCTTAGAAAGCCTGGTCCATGTGCCCACCATTCCTGCTCTCTGAAAATGCTTTGAACTTGTAGGACAAGTTTTTGACTAATACTAGAAAGACCATCTTTTCAGAAATATTATAGTTCTCTTGGTATTATTTAAGACAAGTTCTCATTTCACAGGCCTGGTTGATCTGGCACTTGCTGTGTAGACCAGACAAGGTTCAGCCTAGGAACAGTCCTGCCTCAGCCTCCCAAGTGCTGGAATTACAGAAATAAATGCTATTTGTTTAAATTGCCAAAGATATGGAACAAATGAAAATTTGCTTTAAAAAAATAGCAAAGGGGGACTGGAGAGATGGCTCAGAGGTCAAGAGCACTGGCTGCTCTTCCAGAGGTCCTGAGTTCAATTCCTAGCAGCTACATGGTGGCTCACAACCATCTGTACTGAGATCTGGCGCCCTCCTCTGGCGTGCGGGCATACATCGAGGCAGAATGTTGTATACATAATAAATAAATCTTTAAAAAAAAAAAGGCAAAGATAGTGTGGTCATATAACCCCAGCATTTAGAAACCAGAGTTGAGAATAAAAAGTACAAAACCAAGCTGGGCAATGGTGGTGCGTGCCTTTAATCCCAGCACTCAGGAGGCAGAGGCAGGAGGATCTCTGTGAGTTCAAGGCCACCTTGGTCTACAGAATGAGTTCAAGGATAGCTCAGAGCTTTTACACAGAGAAACACCATCTTGAAAAGCCAAAATAGAATGAAATAAAAATACAAAACCATCCTTGTCTACATAACAGGTTGAAAGCCAGTCCTGAGCTACAAAAGATCCTATTCAAAAAAAAAAAAAAAAGAAAGAAATCAGTGGTGTAAAAAGAAGTCTGTGTGTGTCTCACCATCTGCAAGTACAGCTGTTAGTGAGTTTTCTTCTGTTTGCTTTTTTTTCTTTCTTTCTTTGCTTTGATACGCAGACTGTCACAGGTGTAGCTACTCTGGCTGAGCATTTGCCTCAGCTCCTCCCTCCCTGTTGGGCTGTCTCATCTAACCCTTCGCAGACCTACAAGGAAGAGATGGTTACAGCGCAAGCCTGAGGAAGGGGCTTGCGGAGTGGACGCGGGTACATGACTTGGTTTTAATTTTTAAAACCTTACCCTGAAAGCCAGTTGTAGTGATGCACACCTAAAATGCCCTGTAATCCTATCACATGAAAAATGGAGGTAGGAGAATCAGGAGTTCAAGACCAGCCTGATCCACACAGCCTACACATGAGGGGGGCTGAGGCACTCTGAAGACAGTGCACGGAATGACCTGGAGGCTGGGCAAGGTGCTGGTAGTTAAGACTGGTCCTCTTCCTGGAGGCCAAGCATGTGACCTGTCTGTCCCATACATTAGGCTCCTATTTCCAATGACAGAGGCAGAGTCGTTTGACAGAGAGGGGCAGCCTTTTGTCCCTCTTCTCACACATAAGTAACAAACGATGTAGCTCACGTTTGTTGAGTGTGTGTATGCACACTTCTTTATTCCTTGGTGGTGGGGAGGACTGAGCCCAGGGTCCTCAGCATGCTAGGAAGGGACTCTACCTCTGAGTTACAGACCCTACCCTGCTTTCCCCTTTGTAGAATTTGGAGACCCACAAAGTTTCCCAGGCTGGCCTTCCTACTTCAGCTTCATAAATAGCCTATACTGCCAGGCTTGATTTAATGTTTGTTTTGTCTGAACCATTTGAGAGTAAGTTACATATATAATACCAATTTCTTTAGCATATTTCTTAAATAAAGTCAATAAGTTTAACATTGCAATATTTCATATGAAACATTATTTTTCATATGTGTCAAATAATGTCCCTAATGTCTAGAGAGATGGGGGAAGGGAGAGAGAGAGAGGCACTGTGGCATATGCCTGTAATCCCAACACTCTAGAAACTGTGACAAGAGGATTGCCGTGAGTTCAAGGCCAGCCTGGTCTACAGAGAGTTTCAGGTTAGCTTGGGCTATAGAATGAGACTGTCTCAAAAGAAAAGAATCAAAATGATAAAATAATATTTAGACCAAAAAAAATCAAAAAGAGCTAAGCATGGTAGAGCAGGCCTGGTCATGCTCACCTACAGTCTCAGCCCTCAGAAGGTGGAGATGAGGAGGTCCAGAGATCAAGGTCATCCTTCCTGGCTACACTTGGAGCCTGAAACAAAAACAAAGTCTCATAAACAACATGAACTGGGGGCAGGACTGGAGAGGCAGCTTGGGGGTTAAAAGCACAGACTGTTCTTCCAGAGGACCTGGGTGAAACATGGCAGCTCACAGTCATCTAAACTCCAGTCTAAAGGATTCACTGCCCTTTTCTGAATCCCTGGGTACATGGTGCACAGACAGACATGTAGGCAAAACATCCATACACATAAAATAAATGAAATTTTAAAATAATGATAAAGACAAAAAGCAAAGGGGAAGGGAGGGAGGGAGCCACCCCCACCCTTGGCACTGGCCCCACCAAATGCAGTAGCTGGGAATCTGTGTACCAGATACGGGGCGGGGCTAAACTGCTCACACAGTGACCTGTGTCTGAGCATCATCCTAGTGGGATCCCTAGGTAACGCATGTACATGGAAGAGACCATCTCACTGTCTTGCCAGGCTTTCAATTCCTGGGCCCGAAAGATCCTTCTGCCTCAGCCTTCTCATTTGCTGGGAAACTAGGCACATTCCTCCAGCGCCTAACTAATAACTGGCTCTGTTTATGTGAGTCCAGAGTGACCTCGACTCATCTTGATTTGTCTCCAGCCTGCCCCGTGCTGGAGTTACGGGGGGGGTGTGCCACCTTACCTGTTGATAAGTAGCCTTTCGTGCCCATTTCTCTCGCTTAGGATATTGCTTTAAGGTGCCTTTACAGCATCCCACCACATAACTGTGCGCACACTGTGCATTCCGCGTGCCACTCAGTGGGCGCCTGGGCTGCCTCCATTTTCTGGTTGTCGTAGCGCTGCTATGGATGCTGCGGATGAGTGAGTCTTGAGTGTTTCCATGTTTTCGTTCCTCTCGGGGATACATCTAGGAACAGAACTGCTGGATCACGTGGTGCCTCTTAGCATTTAACTCCTGGGGAACTGCCAGGCCATTTTCAGAAAGGGTTCTGTGTACCACATTAGTTCCTGGAGCTGAGCACCCGCTGGGCACTGGTCCAGACCGCCGTGAAACACTCATCATATCCTCCCCTGTACCAAGGAGGACGGGAAGGTTCAGAGAAGTGAAGTGATCCCCCTAGGGTCACACAGGGTGCGTGGGAAGGTGAGCTGCCCCTCACATGACCTGCTTACTCGGTGATGACCAGCTGACTCAGGAACCAACGTCATCCCGCCGGCCTCCTCTCCCATGCCTGTGACGCTGTTTTGCAGACAGGAAAGTTGGACCCTCACTACCCCAAGGTCTGCGGGCACAGAGGGAATGTCTTGGACATCAAGTGGAATCCTTTCAATGACTTTGAGATCGCCTCCTGTTCTGAAGATGCCACGGTGAGTGAGTGCCAGGGCAGTGCTTCCGGGGGAATGCCAGGAGGAAGCGAGCGACAGGAAGGTTCCCAAGCCATGGGTGTCCAGGGCCCGGCTTTATCTCACTGATGGCTTCACAGGGAGGAAGTGAGAGGTGGAGAAGGCATCATGGGTGTGTGGGGCTTGGGCCCATGATGCCTCCCATCGGGTCTCAGTTTCCCTCCCATAAAATGGGTATACTACTTCTGCCCATCTCAGGAAGACCCCGTGAGACTCATTCTCTGTGACATGCTGAGAGGGGACCAGGAAATAGAAGCTCATTTCATGACACGGTGGATGAGTGAAGAAAAGGGAGGGGCTTATATGAACCTGGCCCCAAGACACCCCAAGAGGCCAAGCCCACCTCTGTGTTACTGAGGGTGAACTCAAACTCCTAGATTTAAGCATTCCTCCCGCCCTAGCCTCCTGGAAAGTTGGGAGCATAGCCATCATTGCTCCACCCATGGAGGAGTGCATGCCTCATCCCCACGATGCTCGCATTTGTTATCCCTCAGACACCTGCTTCAAAAATACAATGATGGGGACTTCAAAGGCCCAGTCGTGAACAAATAATTAAAGTATGGGTAGTCCCAAGACCCCACTCATCAGGTAAAGGGCTTCCCATCAAAACTGACAACTTGAGTTCGATCACCTCGGGCCCATGTGGAAGGAGAGAACTGACTCCCACGAGTTGTCCCCAGACCTCCATATAGACACAGGGGCAAGTATGTGCCCTCAGTAAATAAACAAACTGTAACCAGATACAGATAAAAGCCACGGTCGGCATTTCTTGTGATCCCACTGTATTCTGACCACATCCCACTGACCTCTTCACTCGGTCTTCCCGGTGCCCCATTTCTCCCGTGGAAAAGCCGAGGATTAGAAAGGACAGCAACTTGCCCCAGGTTACACAGCCCAGGCAGCAGAGCTGGCTTCAAACTGAGGCCAATTCTCTGCCCCCGACTGTGCCACTGGCCACATATAGCAGAAGTGAGGGACTACTAGAAATGTCAGTGATGCAGGATGCTAAAATAGTCCCTGGTTTAACTCAGCACTGCCTGGCGGCTTAGACAAAAAAAGGGAAAGAGAAATCAGAATGGAAGGAAACAGACTAGGAGCAGGGGAGAGAAAGGCAGAACACTGAGGGCTGGGTGTGGTGGTGCATACCTGCAGCCCTAGCTCTTTGATTGCTGAGGCAGGAAGATCTCAAGTTCAAGGCCAGCCCCGAGTTGTAAAGCAAGACTGGCTCAAAGCAGAAAGTTCCATGTAGGAGATTGCTAAGAGACCTAAGAATAAAGGAAGGCCGGGCCTGCCTCATGACACCTGTCCTTTCAGGCCTGCTCTGAAGAGCCCCTGAAAGATATTTGGGGGGAGCCGAAATTGGAGTGTTTTGTTGCTGTTGTTTAATTTGGAGGGTGTCTGTTAGAATTTCACAATGTAACCTAGACTGACCTCAAACTTACAATCATCTCACTGTAGACCCCCAGTGGGTCTATGATACACACTGGGATCTTCCTAGAAGGCTCTGGCCTGCTGCTGTCCCTTCTGGATTCCAGGGGATGCAGGAGGATGGACAGGATGATGGAGCCTAGGGTGGCAACAGACCTAGTCCATGTCAATGCATCCTTGCGAATTGTTCCCTGCTTGCCCTCCCCAGATAGGGTAGCTGCCACCTCCTTCAGGACACACCTCCTCCTCTGTAAATAAGCCCAGAACCTGTCTCCCTCCAGCCCCACCCTAGGCTCAGCTCTGTGTGTCCTGCAGATGGAGCAGGTAGACTTCATGGCCTGTTATCAAAACCAAAACCAGGAAATAAATGTCCCTGAGCTGCAAGCAAACCTGCCTGTCTTCGGGATATGATTTGAACACTGACTTGGAGCCTGAGACCCCAGCAGAATGGAAGGAAGATACATGCAACATTTCCCGGGTGCTATGGCCCCATGCTGCTCTCCCTGGGGCTCTTCCATGATGGAGACTTTCCCTTTACTGCGGCGGTCTCTTCTCTCCTCAGTCCACCCTGCCTGCTCACCTCGGGTCATGGGAATGGTTAAAGTCCCTGGGGCAGGTTTAAGAATGAAGCCTCCCCCTGATCAAGATCAGCCCTGCTTGATGGAGGACCCTGAGGAGACTCCAGTTTTCTCTCGATCGGGTGGTGGTGGCAAGAGAGAGCAACAGCGGGGTCCTTCTGCCAGGCACTACCTGCTCCACGGCTGAGGACAGCGACATCCCCAAGATGTTCCCCGGCTCACACTCCTGCCCTTGTCTCCCCTCCAGATTAAGATCTGGAACATCCCCAAGCAGCTGTTGGCAAGGAACCTCACGACCTACAGGAAGGAGCTGGTGGGTCACGCACGCAGGGTGGGGCTGGTGGAGTGGCACCCCACAGCTGCCAACATCCTCTTCAGCGCTGGCTATGACTACAAGGTGAGTCTGGGGCCTGTCTCAACTTCCCTGACAGCCCTGTAGACTAGAAGGACTCAGGCAAGGTGCTGGCGGCCTGTTGCTTCCACAAGCCTGGGGAAGCACCCCTCCACACCTCTCTGTCACTCTTGTCTCTGCCTTCACAGCCTTGTCCTGGTATGCCCTTGCCTCCCCTCACTTACTGTTAGATTGAGACCCCTCCTCCATTTGCTGTGGCCTCATGTTAACTAACTGCATCTGTTAAGACCTTGTTGCCAGGTAAATCCCATTTGAGGTTCTAGGTAGACAGGATTAGGACATAATTCAATCCACTGTAGCTTGCCTCAGGGGGCTGGACTGAGCCCACTGGACACTTTCCCTGTCTCTACCTAGTACCCCAAGGCCATGGGCCTTGGAGACCAAAACAATTCCCAGCCCTGGATACTAGGGACCTGATGCAATTCATCTCAGACTTGTATGACACTGTCCCATGATTCTCCTTGGGTCTTAGTTTCTTGAACCCCAGACTGCAGACAGAGTGGGTTGGTGGGACCATTGCTATGGTTTTTCAACTCTTCCTCTGCTGACTGTATTGGGGTTCGCAGAGACGCCTCAGGAACCTCTCAGATCCAAAAGAGACAGAAGCTGCTGGAAGGTTCTGGTCAGAAATGCTTGTTTAGGCCGGGCGGTGGTGGCGCACGCCTTTAATCCCAGCACTCGGGAGGCAGAGGCAGTCGGATCTCTGTGAGTTCGAGACCAGCCTGGTCTACAAGAGCTAGTTCCAGGACAGGCTCCA